CGGAGCCAGGCGGCGCGCTCGCGACTCGCCGCAGGGTGGGCGCTGCGCCCACTACCGCCCCCGCCGGGCGCCCCAGGGCCTCCGCTCGGCAGGGCCAACACCCCCCGCAGGCTCCGTGCGAGCTGCGGGCGCTCTTGGGTCCCTGAAGACGCGGGAGAGCGGCGCCCCGCCTTCCCCGCCCCCGGCGAAATACACCGTTCCCGCCGGGCCGAGTGGCAGGATTTCGGCTGTCAGGGCCGGGTCACATGGCTAGGAGCGCAAGTCCCAGAAACAGCCTTTCTGCCAAATCCAGTGTCTTTTCCACTAAACCCACTTTCCGCTGGGAATGGCTTTCTGCTTTTCCTGGTCGGGCTCCTGGCCGGACTGGGAGTTCCTCCAAGGCAGGAACGGGTGTGTGCCCGGCCCTAGGCTGGCCCCAGCCCCCAGTGAGGGCCTGGCACGCGCCTCGGCGCTCGCGGAAGAAATGCTCGTTAACAAAGAAGGCATGAATGAATGAAACCAATTGTTGCCTGGGGGAGCCCAGGAGGGTGCTGCTCCTGCCTTTTTCCTTCTGCAGATCACACACTCCTCCCAGACACGCACAAGCACACGTGCATACACAGCCCTCCTCACAGCACACACGCAGACAGGGACACAAACAGTGCACGCTGACTCCAGCCCTTACAGAAACAACCCACTAAGTGCGGGTCGAGCAGCTGGGAGGGACCCCTTTGGTCCCGGCTGAGCCTCCTCCATTTCAGTGCCTGCTTCTCTGTGTCCTTCTCCCACGCCCTCGGTCCCTTGCCTCTACAGCTAAGTACCATACCTTGGGCCTCAAGTGCCTTCTTTATCTCTTTGGAGAAGAGGAGGTCAAGTCAGTCCCTGAGGAGTCTCAAGGTCTTTTTAAGGAGGTACCTGGAGGGGTGTCCCAGGCTGGTGAGCCACTGCCTGGCAGGGATGCTACCAAATGCTGCAGCCTTTAGAGCCTGTGTGCCAGGTGTTGGGGGGGGAGTGGTGGGAGGGATTCAGAGATGTGGAGAGGGTGTTGAGGGCTATTTGCGATGGGGGTGGGGCAGGATACTGAAGAGCCTACAATCAGCAGGTGTTCTGTGCATGTTAGGGTGTTGGGGATGCTGGAGGTGTCTGCCGGGGGACTGGGGAGTGTCGGCCACTGGGGTGTGCATTTGTGTTGTAGTGGGTGGATTACAGTGTTTCTGGACTGGGGACGTGGGCGGGGTGTCTGTAATGGGCATATGGGAAGTTTGAGATGGTGGGGGTATGGTGGGGGGAGCTATGTCAGTGCAGACATCGCAGGATGTGCTGGCACTGTGTCAGCGCCTGGATGTGTACTGGGGCGTGGTAGGGTCTGGGATGGGTATTGGTTTGAGTTGGGGACAGTGGTGAGTGGTGGGTCAGGGAGCTGTTGATATGGCAGTACAGGAACCTGGGTGCCTGGTTCATGTGCGCAGCTGGTGGAAGTGGCGGAAGACATTGAGGCTCACGGGCAGGGTGCTGGGGTGTGTGTAGTGATAGGTCCCAACGGGTCTTGAAGAGTCTTGTACCCCCACGTGCCTCGGACCCTGGGAACGCATTTGGCAGGACTTTGGGGGAGCAGGGTGGAGGAACGCACGTGGGGGTGGGCAACCAGGCGGGGTGGGGGTGGGGAGAGATGAGGGGCCGACGTAAGACATACTCTGCTCACCTTTGCAGGGCTTAGCTCCCGTCCCGGCTCTGGGCGTCGCGGCCGGGAAGTTTCCGTAGCTCCGGCAGTGGGAAGCGCCACTGCCACCGCCAAATGCCACCAGAGCTCCGGGCGGCGGCCTCGCCTGGAGCTAAGGGGGCCGCCACTGCCGCCGCCGCCGCCGCCGCCGCCGCCGCCGCCGCGGAGGGAAACTCCAAATCCCGCCTCTGCCACCGCCTCCGCCGCCGCCGCCTCCTCCCCTCCTGTCGCGGTCTTCTCCGCCCCCTGCCCAGGAGGAGCAATGTCGCCAGAGGCGCAGGAGGGATGGGGAGGGGCTGAGGCCTGCCCAGAGTCTCCCTCTGTCTCCCACGCCCCCACCAGCCTTCCTCCCACCTTCTAGCCTCTACCCGATCCTCGAATGGCTCCATGCACCCTGCCGACCCGGTCTCCAAAAGCTCTGCTGGGTGCCCCTGCCCTCCAATTTAGGCGCCGGAGTATGTAGGGATCTTTGACCTAGTCTGCGCTTGGGTTGTGCAGCGGATTGTAACGCAGTCTACATTGGCATCTCTGCTTCCAGCAGAAGTGAAGGGGCCCATCCAGGAC